ATATAGTAACTGAATTGATTTTACACCAAACTAATAGGAGAGCAGAATCAATACTTACTTATTTACGCCTGTTACCCCTCATGAAGGAGCATAGGCCGTCCACTAGCACTCTCCATCAATAGTCTATTCAATTGAGTAATGAAATGGTTTGAGCTTAAGATTTGAATACTTAAATAAACTTTTTCTTTCAACAGATATCTTGTTCAAAATATAATATAAATATTCACGTAGATGATTTTATGAGTAAAGTCATTTTTATTTTGTCATATTGATTGGATTGTAATATATTCATCAAGGTACTGAGGTATCTATATGGTAGAGTTTGTTGATGTAACTATTTAATTTACTTTTATTCATTTAAATTCAATGAATGGATTTCTTCATTCCAGTTTACAACATAGTACTCAGTTGATCTGAATATGAAAGATAATTTTAATGGTTGAATTTATGAGCGAATTGAAGCTAGACCATCGTGAAAAACCTGGAAGTACTAGACGGCCGTTTCTTCTTAGTATGGAACTTCTCAGCAGTGCCTATCCACGATCCCTCCCCGTGAGATTCGAACCCAGGACCCATCGGTCACGCGCGCGAACGCCTAAACTCTAGATCAATGAGCCGGCTGGCATCCAACAGTGTTAATGTCTAACTTCAACTAATCCACCAGGTTTTCCATGATGGTCTAGATTTAACTGGCTCATGAATCCAATTATTAAATTACTAAAATCGATTAGGTTGATTTTAGCAATTCTTTTTTTTGTTTTGAATGTGACACAAATCATCAGTCTATATTTATTTAAAGATTGACCATATCAACCGTAACAGATAGTATCATTTATATCGTACAGCTGATTAATAAAACTGTATAAATAAATTATTATTAGTTAAGATTTCTGTTTTGTACGGCTACTTTTGACCTTGTATATCTAAATATTTCTACTTTTGACTGCGTGCTATCGTGTTTAGGATCTTGTAAAGTATACTCAAACCATTAGTTGGTAATAATTTTCTTTTGTTTTTACATTTCACTTACTTATTGTAATCTAGTATAAAAGTATTGTAACCTTCAAAGAGAAGTTGAAGATCAGAAATATTTATTCTAATGATTATAATTCCGTTTGTTTTGTTGTCTTACGCCCCTTGTAAATCTACTTATAGAATTGATTCAGATGGTTTTACCGGAAAATGTATAACAGTCAGTTATGTGACCTGAATTTTTGGAATAGAAACAAATGTGACTGGTTTATATCAATGTTGTTGTATATAACTTACTAATTTCATGCTAAACTATCCTTTCAGTCTATACTCATGACAATAACACATTACAATGTTCTACATAAAGGTGACAATTTAATATTATCAGAAGGGGTTCTGTGGAGATTTCAGAAATTTCACTGATTGAAATCATGAGTCAATTGAAGCTAAACTGCCATGAAAAACCTGGAAGCACTGGACGGCCGTTTCATCCTAGTATGGGACTCCTCAGCAGTGCGCATCCACGATCCCGCTCCCCTCGAGATTCAAACCCAGTTAGACATTAACACCGTTGGGTGCCGGCTCAGTGGTCTAGTTGGTTAAGCGCCTGGCGCACTGCTGAGGAGTCCCATACTAGGATGAAACGGCCGTCCAGTGCTTCCAGGTTTTTCATGGTAGTCTAGCTTCAATTGACTCATGATTTCAATCAGTGAAATTTAATATTACTCAAACCAGATGAAGGTTCTTATATTGTACCGATTAATTAATTCAGAATAATGTTGATGATGAACAATGATCTAATTAAGAAACTATACTGGTCTAATTTATTAATATGACGAAATTTTTCGATAAAATATGAGTTAAATTTAAACTGAAGACTCTAGCTTTGAATTATTGTTACTACAACTGTAAACTATTTGAATTGTATGTGGACAATACCTTAATTGGTGTAAATAGGGTAACTTAATCATGATCCATAATAAAAGCGAAATTACTGTCGTAAACTCTTCATCGAACAATGAATAAAACAATTGATTAGTTAATGATCTTATACTTTTTTTCTGGTCGAATGATAATATTATATGCAAAGTCTTTATTACAGAAATGAACATAAATACGTATTCCTTAACTCATAAATGATTGTGTGATTTAGGTTTAGTCAGTTATACACCAATCTATGTTATGAATTCTATTTAATTGACAGGATTCATTCCTAATCAATTATATTTTCACAACTAATAAAAGGTTGTTAAGTCAATTTAATAGTTTCTAAAGAAAGTTGAAGTTTCTACTTCAGTCAGAATGTTGAATACATGATTTCTATTATATCGTTCATGTGAATAATGAAGTTTCCTTAGGCCTAAAGACATTTAATTAAACATTTTGTGTATATCTTATTGTACTTAGAAGTAGTTGCGTTTTCATTTTAAAATGTACTAAAAGATTACTTAGATCTAGTTTTGAAACTGTTTTATGTGTATATTCGTAATGTATAACTTTGTATTATGGGAAGTGTTTTATTCGATTTTTGAGTAAAGCAGTAGCAATCATGAAAAAATTGTTTATAAAGAAGATTTTCCCCACATATATTGAACTTCAGTGGTCAGTGGTGAAATTTTACATTATCCTATTATATGGTATGATTTATTTGGGAGCATATTGTTATGATTGTGAATAAAATCGTTGGTATCCAATACAATGTGCATTTTGAGCGTTCCTTTTCGCTTTTTTTCCACAAACCAGCGGCTGCTAATGTTATTCAGAACTTCGATGAAAGCTTCAGAGTAACACCAGTAAATCATCTGTCTTAGATACATCTACTTTTCCACAAGTAAAATTTATTTTGATAGTTGATTAAATAGAAACGATGAATTTCTTGGTTACTATAAAAGTGGTTAGAAAAGGGTAGAATTAAAATTCTGAATTATTCAATATATACCTGTTATTATTTTGATAAGATCTTAAGCTTTAGTATTATGTTGAGTGTATAAGAGAGATATTATCTATTCAATTTTAACATCATATTTTTGCAGAGAAAGACAGTTTTCAGTCTCTTATCCTACTACTTTCATTACAATCACCTACAAGTCAATAGGTGATGAGATAATTCTAAATATACTGCCTTAACATAATAGAGGAATTTGATCAATTTTGAGGTATATATTATCGTCACTTATAAAGTAATAGTGATAATAATGGTAATTATTATGTGTGTACTTATTACTACCATACGTATTTACCTGGAACTGTAGTAGGACGTACATTGTAAGAACAAAGATGGGATTGCCTAGCAAAATATCGGGACATATGCTAAAGAAGTTGGACATGAATGGCCTAAAAGTATTTAGCCGTACAACTGGAAAATATAAAGGGTATGAAGGATTCACTTGTTACTGTTATTTCATTTCGAGCAATGAATGAACAGAATAAGGTCGAACTTTTAGGTTAAGCAGAAATAGCCACTATTCATTAAGTCACTCTTCATTTGTGTATATCAAAAGAACTTACGATTCACTTTACACTGCCATGATGATAGATCTCACTTCTTTTCTTCCTTCTTCTTTCTATTCGCTTGTATTCAAAATATTTCAAATTTTTATTATAAGGTTTTGTGGAGACAAGAATTTTCATTTTATTAAACCATAAACAAATACTTTATTTATTTATACAAATCGGTTCGTGTAGAAAGAAGATTTGGAATAAACGAAATGAGCTGAATTCATTTCATCACACAATCTTTTTTTTGTTTTCCTTAACAAAAGTTTATCAAGGGAACTAAGTGTACTGAATGTGTTGATGATTAACTTACTGTGTAAATCGGTGTATGAAAATATCGCTAATCTATACCGCACGTATTCATATCTTTAAAGCTAAAAACGTATACATGATTTATTAGTATCATGATTATTATCATCAGTGTATTCAAACTCATGTTGTTCTTAATATGAATCCAAGATCATGTTTCAGTAGAAAACATGACAGATATATTGAGTGAGCCATAACCATCTCATTATTTTTTTAGCTTGTTCGAATTCTAAAAACATTTTAAAATTGTCTATTACATGAAGTTAATGAAGCTCAATATGTGAGTAATATATTTTAATAGCGTTCTTTGAAGACACCGAATTCCTGAAGTTTCGATAAAGCCGTCACTTATTGGAAATTCATTCAACCCTAAATATAATCAATGAGACTGATGATTGACCACTTCTGGGGAAAAGATTTTAGTATACCATATTGGGAACTTATTCAGTTTGCTAAACTTACATCATCAAACTTGAAAAATTGATTTTTGTTGTGGAACAGGCAAGTAATGCTCCTTACATCCGAAGAACCCAAACGGAAACAAATCAGCCATATGGTTATTTATGAATACCATTCACCTACCGATTGATATCATTTGTCAGAAATTATTCTAATAATTAACATCAATCATTTTCTAATTGATAGACAATAATGAAATCTGGCACACATTGTTACTTGTGTGAAATAAGTTAGGAAGCATATGATTGCTTGACAATGAGTTTGAGGCTGTAAAATCTTTTCATAATAGAAACTGATAAACTAATGTACAGGTTTAACCGATAATTTCAAAACTAATTATTATCTTCAATGGAAGAATGTTTGGATGTTACTATATTCTAAATAATCATTTTTCTATACGCTTACACTGAGTTAAATGGTTTCATTGCTCTTTACGTATTAAACCAGTTTCATGAGTGATACAAAAATTTGGTTCTAAACAAACCACACTTATTCATCGACCTTGGTGATTCAATCATCAATCAATCACTAGACTATCTGAGGTAAACGGTATTTTAGTCAAATGTTTGATGTTTATATATTAGTCATGTATAAAGTGACTATTAGACAATCCTTAAAACATTGTCAGGTTTTTACCAATATAACTTGTATAAGAAGCTTCTAGTTTTCATACGAAATTTTAATTAAGCTGAAAAATTACTTGATATCTGACTTTATTTCAAGTTTTGAATAATATACTTTAATTTTATTCATATGTTAAGCAGAGACGATCATTAACTCCTTGTGCATGGCTTGAACGTGGTGGCTTTTTTAATATGCCTAAATATTATAATTCATTATCTCCATTTGCACAACGTCGTCATATTTGTTCAAGTTATTCAAGTTGTCCACTTACATGGCTCCCAACAAATGATGTTAAATCATTAACATTTAAGCTTATAGGGACTGATGGTAAGTAAATTTTTATATTTAAGTAGTTAAATAATGTTCAGTATGTATATTATAGTTTCATAAGATTGTACATATTTTGATGTATTTGAGTACTGTGAATATATGACGTTAAATATGATTTAATGATCAATTTGATAAAATTGGCAATTAGATACAAATAGCCAACTGATCGTTTTAACATGTTCAGTTAAATGGAGAAAGATTAATATCAGTAGATTATGATAAATTATCAGTACAAAAATTATCAATTCAGATCAATAACTGATTAGAAGTACAATGTTCAGGAAAAAAAGATAAGATCTGACCTTTCTTTAATCATCATACCATTATACAGAAAATATGATAATTAACTATAAGCAAAGATGGATAGTGGCTAGTAGTGGAATCCGGGAGGCGCGTCTCGTCCTATCTTGGACTCGTCAGCTGGATGTACCTGCATCTCAGAGTTGATGTTCACTCTGGGACTCGAACCCAGCGTCGTTCGCTTCAAATGCCATCGCGTTATCCACTTAGCTACTGAGTCCTGATAGCCACTTGCTTGTGCAATGGGGTGAAGTTTAATTCACTTGGTATTGTTTTACTTGAATCTTCCCATTGATGTTTAGGACTGAAATTGATCAGTATCATGTTGGCGTATGTGCACACTGTGCGTATTGCCTCGACTGATCAATTTCAGTCCAAAACATCAATGGGAAGATTCAAGTAAAACAATACCAAGTGATAATTAACTATTTACTACAATAGAAAAAGCATGGATTTAAAGTTTATGAAAATGCTACTACAAAAAGTATATTAATATGGAAATGTAGTTTTTTAAGTTTTAACTTAAAGCTACATAGCTGAAGCCATCTGGATCAACTCCAGAGAACCAAACTTATGTATCCAGAAAAAGGTATATTCAGCCTCTATGTTTACCTTGGCCCACGACTGGATCACTGGATACCTGAACTGAATATTATAAACATCCTACCCCCTTCTTTTTTTGATTACCTCTATCTTAATCTTCACATCCAGCATTCCCAATTCGTTCGTCTTAATTACTTTTATAACACCCCCCTTATTACATATTATATTCACAAAACAATCTTATTATTATTATTATCTCAATTGACAAGATTAAATTCTCCTACTATGCACTTTATTCACACACTCCTTTTGGAATTTTCATTTTTGCTATAATACTATTCTACTTATTGTGACTGGACACTTTACTCCAAATCATTCTGACCTTCATTGAATGACCTTTCTAATTTGCGAATAACACCATTTTGGAGTATATATGTCGTAACAGATGCAAACGTTCACCATTTTTAACATATAACATTGTCAAATTCATTAATACATGCCTTATTTTTGACCTTTGTAAAATATTATGATTATGGACTTATAACTATGGAGCCTGATGACGAAGTTATTGAAAACAATTGTTCGCTCGAATATTCTTCATATTTGATTATTAAAGCTAAAACATACATAGTTAAAAGGTAGCAAGTGAGTGACAACACTAACTTATAGTTGTATTGTATATATTTCTATAGAGGGATAGAAAAGAGTGCATCATAAAGAGATGAAAATTAGTCTCGTATGTATAGTTGTTTGGTGAATATATATGTATACGGAAAGACAGAAAAGATTCTGTCATAAAGGGATTCGAGGTTTCAAATATCAAAAGTGGTTAGAGCAGAATGGTAGGATGAAAATACTTTACGTGTCTGAATTGTGAGAGTTATTTGAAGAATGCAGAATAGTTTCTATTTCAACTCTAGACACGTCGCTCCAAAGGGGTTCTCCTTCAAAACAATCTGCACAACCAAAGGAACTGGATCTAAGGTAGGTCGAATCAAAAACCTATGCACTACTGAAGCTCGAACTCTGTTTGCCTTCATTAGCTCTAATTCCCTTCTGTAGTATGTTTTGGTCTTGTTTTTTCCTTTTTAAATTTAGTACTTTGTAATTTTAAACCATAATCAGTTATCATTATCCTTCAATAGATTTTCATGATTATTATTGATTTTTTACTAAACCTTTATGTTTTCCAATTTTCTTCATATCTGTCAAGTGAACAATTATCTTTCATAATTCTGACCCGTAAATTATTTTCATTTTACCATTTTTCTCTAACTCCCTGATTATTACGCAACCAACTTTGACATTTGAAATCTCAAATCACTTTATGATGGAATCTTTTCTATTTTTCTACAGTTATATTAAAAGAACTCAATACAAGTCAAAAGCACATTTCTCTTACATTCGAAGAAGAGAAGAACAACCAACTTCCTTTTCTAGACATATTGATTAGTAGGAGAGATGATGGTTTCATACAACGTTCTATATATAGACATATATATAACATAGGAATGTACAGCTTAAGTAAATGGTTTCTTCGAAAAGGAAGTTTTCTTCGTTGAATTTTTCTCTCTGTGAACTGCTTTTATAAAGTAATCCATTCAACAAATCTTCCCGTGTAAATATCGTTGTAACACTAATATGTAGTATGATATTTAAATTCTGAAATGTTTATAAACTAGATAGTTGAGCTAGTTTTTATCAATAAATGTAGTATCTTTTTTTAGCATCCGGTTGTGCTTTTGTCACATTTTCACTGAAGCTGTTGAGAAATGTTATTCTATTGTTCTAATCATGATTTCACAATGCTGCTTCCAATTAGTTTTATACTTACAAAATAGTTGACGAGGTAATAGTAAATTCATAAGATCATAGTTTTTGGAATAATTCGATGATAAATTAAATTGAGGGCCTTCAACTATAAATCGTTGTGCTTGATAAATATCAGGAAATATAATATTATATAGTTACGCATATCAAATATACCCATACAAAGTTGACATTAACCAAGAATACCGTCATATAATTCATTATAAAAGGCGCTTTAGGTTATTGTATTAAAACTTGGTATTATTCTCTAGTAATAATCAAAATAGATGAAAGCGCACCAGTTAACTGGAGGTATTTCATATGAATTGGTTAATTTTTCCCAGATTTGGTGAGACTTAACCAACTTTGTTTCAAATGTCATGATATCATTTGTATGTAACTTACCTATAACATTTATATAAGACAAATAGGAGAGATGCTTCGTTGAAGGATTCGAAACACAACTGCATTTCACACACAATTCTTGTAACCCTAATAATGAGTTAACTACTTATTAGGGAAAAAAAATTAAATAAACCGTTAATGTCTGACTTTGTATTTTTCTTGCAAACTTATTTTTTAGATATGCGTGATTACGAATTTCAAGCTCATTTTTGTAACAGAATCTATGAAGCACGGCATCGTTATTGCACTATGGAAGAGGGAGAAATTGCATTTGAGTTGAGGCAGATAGGGACATGGTTGATGGTAGACCGCATCAATTGTCGATGTTTAGGCACTGCTGATGTTGAACGTTATGGATACAGTAAAGGTGTTCAATTCGGAGATCGCGTTTTTCGTGGTAATTATATACACATGACATGTGCAACAAAGGCAAGTAGACTTTGGACTTTTAAGTCACTCAAAATATTTAAAACTTTTTTCCTACTTGTTTGTAGAATATCAAATAATTTGATAGATTTTCACTCATAAGTCAATTGAAGCTAGACCACCATGGAAAACCTGGAAGAACTGAACGGCCGTTTCGTCCTAGTATGGGACTTCTCAGCAATGCGCATCCATGAATCTCGCGGGGTGCAGGATCGTAGATGCGCACTGCTGAGAAGTCCCATACTAGGACGAAACGGCCGTCCAGTGCTTCCAGGTTTTCCATGGTGGTCTAGCTTCGATTGACTCATGATTTTAACCTCTGAAATTTCTAAAATCTCCAGAAACCCCTTCTGATCATAAATAAGTGTCAACCTATTGTAGAGGATCAGCCATTATGTCTGTTAAGCTAAAATATTATGGAAGTAAGGAAGAACTAAGCTTTGTGTTAGCTGTTCAAGATAAAAACGAAAAAACTTGGTGATAGATACTCACTGATTTATACGTAGAACTGAAGCATAACATACGTAATATGATGAATCAGAACAAATTATTTGGTTTTAACAGTTTTCAATGGTGTTATGTAACTGGTGAATTCAGTCAATGACTCAGGAGTGGTACAGTTGTGATTATGACAGAGAATGACTGAAATATTACCCAGGGAAATATATAAACAAACTTAAAAAAGTATAGATTTAAACAGTTCTAGTACGTCGATTCTTGACAAATTAGTTTTAAAGTATTGTATTTAAGATCAATTATTGGTGTATGTGTTCTGATTATGTACAGTTCCTCATTGTTAAAATCATAGTATAAAACGTTTCTATGGTAAATCACTTATATCATTTTTGTTTGAAGTTTAATCCTGAGCTTTGTAAAGCCCTTAGAAGTGTATTCCAGAGAGATAGGATAATTCATGTTTAGTTTTAGACATATTCTATAGACAACTTGCAAGAACAAGGGATTAGGATGTTCTCGGAATCGAAACACTGTGAATAGTTTCTTTTTACCAAAATCCTCAAGGAATCTGATATACTGTAATATAGAAATGTCCAACATATAAACTATTAATGATTGTCTAAAGTTTCTTGCTCCGACAGAATAATTAAACACATTGAGAAATCTTTGTTACTGTTTTTAGCACTATAACACTATAATGCTGGGATTTATAGATAATCAATTGGTATAATTAGTCTAGTTCACGATGTAAGTTTTTATTCGAGGTATTGGATAATATAATCGACTACAGAATAGTTCTAATCATCTAACAGGATTCAAATCACCATACAATCTAAATTTTACGGAATCTTTTTGGGTTGCGAAACTACATTCAAATGTTTCTAATGTTGTCTAATTGTATAATTCTGTATATTTAGTCCTTTGTTCTTTTGGTAGAAAAGGTAACTCAACAGTTCCTGTACCACTTTTCACTACAGTTTGGTTCAGTACAATTAGAAGAACGTTATAAGTAATAGTTGTATTTTACTAGTAAATACTTTGCTAAATGGTTCATCTAAAGTTTTATGAGAATTGATATTCTTCATAAAGTTTAAACTCTCGTAATCCACACTTCATCAGTTTATGACTTTTATTGACCTTTACCAAGTATCAAGTTTATACTTTTAGTTCATTTAATCAGTCAGTCAGCTAAAACGTAGGACTAGGAACATATGTGCATCGGTCCAGGTTGCCATACCTCATTAACACAACAAGATGAACATCGGATTCATAGAAGTAGTGGTGGTAATATATAAAAGAAAGGTTGCATACAAGGACATAATACAGGAAGAAATATTTATTTCGTAGAAAGAAAGATATGAGGTGATTTTAAGCTCTAAGTTTAAAGGAAGACGGATAGTGTATACACCAACACCATTGTGATCGATTCTGAGCCATGTCACACACAGTCTCAAACCATTGGTTACGATAGTCACCCGGATCCCAACCAAATAGTCTGCATCTACCAACATGGCTCAGACCAGAAGTTAGTGACTTCAAGCACTGATGCCACGTTTTGGTTTAGCCGCCCCCAACTTTCTTCCATCAGTCTCCAACACCGGTTAGCATTGTACGTTATGGTAATCGGTGTTCAGGCATACGTAACACGTGGCCCAACCATCTCAGTCGATGGAGATTCACAACCTCATCAACTGAATTAACATCATTCCCTAATACCCTTTGTCTAACCTCACTATTACCTAGCTGGTGATCCCAGCGGATGCGAGCAGTATTTCTGAAACATCTGTGGTCAAATACTAGTAGCTTACGAATATCTTCAACTCTTAATGGCCACGTTTTGCAGCCGTAAAGTAAAACAGAACAAACTGCCGCACAGTATACTCGTCCTTTCATTGAAAGACGGATATCTCACCTTCGCCATAGGTGATGTAAGTTGGCGAAAACCGAACGAGCTTTTCGAATCCGTGCTGAGATTTAGTCAGACACCAACCCATTATGGTTGATCAGATTTCGAAGATAAGTGAAGTTGTCAGCGCGCTCGACTACTTCACTCCCTATCCTTAGTTCAGGTGTTGACACAGACCAGTCCTGACGCAACAACTTGCATTTAGAGGGAGAGAAGCGCTTTCCAAACATTCTGGCATTGTTGCTTAGTACTACCAAAAGACTCTGCATTTTGTCAGCGTCTTCATCAAACAGGATTATGTCATTTGCGTATTCTTTTAATAGAAACATAAAATTAAATTTATTTTTTCTTAGATATTTATCAACTACTTTTATTGTACTTTTTTTCTAGCCTCAATGTAAAGTGGATGATTTTTGTTATATTGAAACACCAAGTACAGATGGTTATATTTATGGTGGTCGAGTACCATGCATTTGTCCAAAACAATATCATTGTCCAATTTATTTTATACGAGATAAACGTATTCCACAAATCAATGATGATGGACGTGTTATCAGTTATGGAATTAAATGTAAACGAAGAAATTATTAGTTATTTACATTTTTCCTTATTTCGAATATATATCTATCTATATCTCCTCTAGTTTCTTTTCTCTCTTTTTATTTTCTTTTATTTCTCGTTATTATTTCTGTTATATAAGAAACACTTTTTTTCTTTTTCTTCTTTCTACAATCAAAATTTAATTACTTATTTTATTTTTACAATATGCTTACTGATTTATATGTATAGCGTACAGTTTTTGAATGTTAGGGAAATGAAGAAATAAGGGAACAGAAGAAAATGTCTTAAGACAACAACAACAAAAATTAAAGTCTTATTCATTTGCAGAAAGGAATTTTGTAGAGGTTTTTGGTCATTTTAATAGTTGAATTCATAAGTCAATTTAAAGGAGACCACTATGGAAAACCTGTAAACACTGGACAGTCGTTTTGTCTTAGTATGGAACACTTTAGCAGTGAGCATCCACGATATTTGCCAGAGTCGAACACAGAACCTATCAGTCTCTCATGAACGAACGCTTAACCTCTAGACCATTGAGTTGACATCGAATGATGTTATCGTTTAACTTCATCCAATTCACAATATTGCGTCACCATCCACCATTGTCTTCAATGAGTTACTACGTCACAACAGACATAATTGAACTTCACTGGTCACGGTTTCTCACTAGTACTCCAAGAAATACCTCTTGAAGTCAGTCACTAGTGAGTACATGATGATTATTATCAGAAGGAGGTTTTGTGGAGATTTTAGTAATTTATTAGTTGAATTAATGAGCCAATTAAAACTATATTTTTGCTTTCAAAAACGTTTATGGTGAATTACCTGTAAAGTTTCTGTTTAACAATTTGAGTCAACTTTTGACTGCATCAATCATAACTCATAGCAAATGGTTATAAAAATCTATGTTTCTAATGAAATCTATGATAGATATATTTGTTTTTAAGATAATACATGAATATATTGATAACATTTTACAGAACAAATCAATATAGTAAAGGAATCTAGCTTAGTGAGATCTAGGATTCTTTTAAATGTTTAAATAAAATTAGTCCTATGATGGTGTACAATGTCCTCTAAGCGTTTAAACATATTGTGAAACAAAAACTAGGCTGTTTATGAAAATCCTACATTCTTAAAGAGTTTGCTATACAGTATAATATATTACTTAATTAAGTTAACTAGTCAAGTATATATTCTCTCTAGAGTTGTTAATTTTTAATAATTAGATATTTGATGCTTGTTAGTCAGATGTGGTTATGGAATCATAGTGGACATACTCATTACAGTTCAACTACTGACCAAAACTTCGAATACCGATTAGTTTTCCATTGAAAAATAACCAAACATTCTCTTAGGAATGAATTGATCATTCTGATTATGTTTACTTCTGAAAAATCTCAATGTTAATGAATCCAAAATTGTTAGCCATTAGAGATTGTCGAACATTTTGTAGATTGTGAGTGAAGTAGTATTAGAAGAACTGAACACGTGTTGTTTCATAACACTTATGTGAGGAATTCGATACGTGGCATTAAAAATACTCTATCAAAGTTAAAGAGGCCGTTTTATTTGATAGTGGCTAAATTTAACAGTTCTTTGTAACAACCGAAATAAAGGGAACTGGTGATAACGCAAAAATTAGGGAGTTTGGCGTTAAGCTTATCTGGAAATTTTAACAACTTTTATTCTGAGCAGAATGCTTCGAAATAATTAGGGGATTGAATAAAATAATCTACTACAAGATATCAACAGTTAAGCGGTAAAATGATCAAATTTCTCGCTATAAATCAATTAGTACTATGGAGTAAATAAAATAATTAATCAAAATATTTACAAATTAATTATAATATAATTGAAACTGTGTTATCGATTAGACTCTAGGATTACACATTCTAGTTGACCAGGGAAATCAACATGTTTTCATGACGATTTTACTTGAAATATGATGGGAATTTCTATCTGATAATAACTGTATCAAAGTTTAAATCGATAAAAATCACGTATATTTTGTTAGCTCACCGTGGTCTAACTTTGTAATGGCATTGGACCACAACCACACAATCCTCAAAGCTGAACACGCGACAACTCGGAAAATAGATATTCAATATTTAACGCGGAGAAATACCTAACGATGGAGAAGGTGGGAAGAATGCATTGAGTGAGTTGGAGTTGATCGAATGGCATGGCTCGGCCTTGCAGGCGTGGTCCCTATTGAATGTCACCTTATATCTTTTATTCATATTAAATAAATTGTTCTATCTCCAGCCTACGCTTGTTATACATCATGTATTGGTGATTGTTACGATACGATAAGTTGGTGTAGACAATGGTATGACTTCTACGTAAGATCTTATAGATTAGGCAGTTATATTGTGACAAGTCTAAAATTTTAGGACTAGATCTATTATTAGCGCAGTACTAATATCATAGTAGACCATAATTCTACAACTTAAGTAAATCCACTAAACACGTAAATAGGTCAACAAACATTGACGCTATTATCATTTAGCTACTTAAGCAAAAATAAGTAGTATGAAATTTTATAAAACATAAAGGTCTTGAAAATTATCGAGTTATTTTTTGGTATAAATTTATTCAGAATAATTAGTTAACAATATACTTTTATAAATATGTACCATGTAAATTGCAATGTATAGTGGAGTATAACTTAGAGATTGTTAAAACTTATTGTTCAAAGAATATATAGACATTTAAATAAGAGTAACTTGTATGACGTCAAACGGTTAATATGAATTTTTAACCATCTTCTCATTCATAGATGTTAATCTTCATTGTCATCGAGAATAATCCTAGTATTCGGTAGTCTCTTGTCTATGATATTTCTTGAGAAGAATATGGAAGATATAAGGGTTACAATTTTAAAAATATGAAATGATAAATGAACTGAAACATGATAGTCAAATATGCTGCTATCGTTGAGATAATAAAAAAAACACAACAGATCTTTAAGGTAGCTAATGATAAAATAAAGATTTAGTTTTCGTTGACCTGTCAAACTCTTAGTTATGAACAGTTTCATATTATCTGAAATTCAAAGTATAGGGTATGAATATCTAGAATAAGGATAATATTTTGTAATTATGTGAGTAATTGTAGACGTTTTTACTATAAGTGTATACTTGGTATTGGTCCAAGCAAAAAAAAGGAGAGAGTTGGTATATTTAAGACAATTACATACGTATATATATATATGTTCTTTCTGAACGTGTTTGACATAATAAATCTTGAAAGTAAAAAATGTATATTTATATTATAGTAAATTAGTAGTTAGAAGATTGAGGTGAATATTTTAGTTGCATCGATATTGCACGTGATATCATTGAGGATTTCCGTATAAATTATTTGTTTTGGACGTTTTCTTTGGTACATATTCACCAATAGCATTTAGTGTAATTTGTTGATCCCCGTATGCTGGTCGGTCTTCAGGTGTTGTAAGAAAACGTAATCTCTATAAATAATAGAAAATTAATTGTGTGGGTAAGAAGTTATAGAAATACATTTCGATTAAAAGACTAAGGGTTTTGATTTTTAGTATCAAAAAATTATTAGTGTTGCGCTAACGTCACAGTCCGTACAGTCGATCGATTAAAATATTTACAAAGCCATGTTATATCTGTAGTTTAACTTGAATGCTTCCCTGTTAGAATGCTTGAGTAGTTGAGTTTGCTAAAATGTTGTCGAAACCTGTCAAACAAGATTTGTAGAAAGATGCTTCATGGTCTATAACTTACTGTAACAAAAATCATTGTGATGAGATGTTTATACTGATAAACATTAAATATGTTGAATCAACACAATTTCCATGAAAATTCATAGCCATAGTAAAAAAAATTCAACTGTGTTAAAAAACTGAGTGCCGATTCAGTTGTTTGTGGAAACTATTTTAATTTATATACTCATCATAAACTGATATCATTTGAGGAACTATCGAAAGTCATTGTCGAGTAGGTGCTTTGAAATGTACCAACAATGCAAATCGAAAACTTAACACAATATTGAGGCTTCTGTTTTTATGCTTCACAGTGACGAGCTGGTTAGAAGATTGAATTTGATGAACGATTAATATATAAATATATTGCATGTACTGCTATCATGGTAAATATATGGACGTTCACTGACAGAAGAATTAACCGAAGACAAATCATTTTTGATTGACTTTAAAATCAGGAATCGATAATAGTTAAACCACCACTGAAGATCTTAAAGCATTGGATTGCTGTTTGTCCTCAGTAGTTTGCAGCTTTGATGAGTTCATCATTCCAGTGAAACTCGATAGTGTTCACAATCCCATACTGACAGTTTCCATGTAATTACTGGTGGCTAGCTTCGAGAGGAAATTTCCGGATTTCTAGTGGGAACCTATAACCAGTCGAGTTCAACTGTATCAGTTGTGAGGAAGGTACCCATCAAAGGCAGTTGAAGATAGTGGCGCTCTATCATGGACTAACTAAACTTAGATTTGTACAGCTTAGTATTTCGGTTTAGTGGTTCAAAGTCTAGATACTCGCGCGTGAGACCGAAAATTCTAGGTTCAATTTCCGGTTGTAGAGTCGCGTACACACACTGCGGAGGGGTCCTATACAGGGACAAAAGGGCTTTCCACTGGTTGTCTAACTTTAATTGGCCCTTTAGTTTAGTGAAACTCAACAATATCCTTATTCTATTACTGGCTTCCGATTATTTTAGGTCAACGCTTTACGAAATTTATAAGAATATATCCTTATCATATTATCTAGATTTAACGGGTTAACTTGCACAAGGACGTCTCAACAAAAATACTGGCAATGTCACATCTAACTAGTAATGTTGACGTCAGTCTAAGAAAAAAATTAATAAGAGATATGTGGTCAATAGTAAAAACTTGGAGTCAACTATCCAGTTAACTATATTCATTTATTTCCCTATGAGATAAAAAATATTTAGATTTAATTAAATTGCGAACAATGCTTCAAAATTCAAAATGTGTTACTTACTTCAAGAAAAGTTCCTTTAGCCTTTAATAATTGATATATCATTAAGATTGGAATGAATATTGGAGATGAGAACACTATAGCCCATGACAATGCAATAACCCAGGTTGTAGGTTCATAGACAACGCCCAAAACAGAAACAGGTTGTGTTTCATAAGAAACTATATTTGCTATAAAAATACCCTTGATAGGAAAGAGAATAGACGTAAATATATGAAAAAATCAATTAGTTAGTGATTCATATTGTGTAAAAACAAGGGAAAAACATGATCTTGAAATACAACACAGAGATCATCAATCCAATCACACTTGATGGAAAAGCTCTAAAAGATGTGGAATCTTTCAGGTACTTGAACAGCATCATCGATAATTAAAAAGGATCTGATACAGATGTAAAGGCTAGGATCAGCAAAGTACGACACTGATACATTTGAACATCTGAAAGTCAAAATAACTGTCAACCAATATCAAAGTCACAACAAACGTTGAGACAGTTCTACTGTCTTGGAGAACTTGGAGAACTACTACAACAACCATCATAAAAAAAGTACAAGTATTTCGAAACAGTTGTCTACACAAGATACTCAATGTCCGTTAGTCGAATACCATTAGCAACAGCCTACTGTAGGAGGGAACAAACTAGCTTCCAAATAAAGAGGAAATTAGGAAAAGACATTGTAAATGGATTGAACACACATTGAGGAAACCATCAAACCATATCACGAGACAATTGTTAACTTGAAATCTTAAAGGTAAACGAAAAAAAAGTCCAAAGCGTACACTGTGTTGATTACTGCAAGCAGACATGAAAAGGATAAATATCAACTGGAAATAAATGTAAAAGATTTCCCAGAACAGAGTTGTATAGAAAGTGTTGGTGAGTGGTCTATGCTCCTTCATGAGGGTAACAGACGTTAGCATGATTGTAAAAAAAAACTGAAGTTCGTTCATAAAAAGTACAATCCTTAAACAGGCTCAAATTAATTATCAATATGTATAAATAGGGATGAGGAAATTTCATAAGAAATACGATAAAGTTTCATGACTCGAATTATGCAAACATTAAGTCGTTTTCGATCAGTAGTTGTTCATGATAAACCAAAAAAAAATATAAATGATTCTGTAGTATTAGTCAAAACTAACTTAAGGATATATAAAAGTTCATTACTGTAAAACTGTATATAAGACGATTGAGTAAACTGCCTGCTTAAATCTAATTATTATCCATATTAAGGTGAAAAAAAATGCTAAGTAACAACTAATCAACTGTAAATTTATTCAAAGATGCAGCTAGTTAAATTTGAAATCGATTAAGCAAACATTTTTGCTTTCCCGTAAAGCAACTTGATACTTTAATTTATCCGCTTCATAATATTCTTTAGTTTGTAAGTTTGAACATTATCAATTAGCTTAGCTTTACAATTACAATTTCTTATGTCATAGGATCTTATAAAACTTATTTGATTAACATTAGTCCTGGTGCTGATGATGTGCTGATGATGTCGTTCAGAACAACGATGAAAGCTCCACGACCAAACCGTCCAGCTCAGAGAACAAAACTCCACCAAAATCATCCACCTGAGCTACAAATCTCTATCTTTATAAGTCATTTCATACAAAAATGACAATGTCATCTAATATTCTTTTTTGCTTAGATACTAGTGAATATAATAAAAAAAGCTTTTAAAGTTTACATTAATGAAGAAACAATATTCTTGGATTTTAAAGATGTGACAGTCTAGGATTTCTAAAAAGCATTGAGTAATAGTCGTTTAGATATTATACATAGAATAATTCTACTGTTCACTTAACTATACATGAACCATAAATGAAGTTAATATTCTTACTTCTACATTATTCAACAATAAATATCTTACTTCTGCATGAGATCAGTAACAAATCAGAAAACTTTCATTATGAAATTGTATGGAGCAGGTAAAAATTAGTTCCACAAATATTATCTTCACATATCATTACAAACCACATACCTGTTTAAAGTATGTATGTTTAAATGCTAATCAAATAGAGGAATTTAATAGTTGAATT